TAAAATTTTTATTCTCTAGAAGATAAAAAAATAATTAAAAAATTAAAAAAGAAAAGGATGTTCTACCTTTCAGGCTCTCGTGGATGGTTCATATAAGCTTATATGTATTTTGAACATTTTGATCCCTCCCTTAAGGATCACCTCTTTATAATTTAAAGGGTTTATTACCACTTGGTAAGTTTTTAGATTAACAAACGAAAAACGTTTGATATTATGATTTTCGAATCTTATCGTAATATAGTATTTTTTGCACTATATTGCCCGCTGACATCTTCTTTCACAACCAGGGGTTGACTGGAAGAGATCTCTTTTAGAGATAAGTCCACCTTTGTGAACTATGTTTACTTTGTTATTTTTTTTCTGTATCATATTTTAAGTGCAATAAAAGAATATAATATCTATTATTTTGACAAGTTATGTGATATGTTTATCTGGGCCCTCCCACCTATCAAATATAAATCAGTTTTATCATCTGTCATCTCCGAGGTGTAACACAGCCATTTTCCCTACTCTGCTACTGTAAACTTTGCCAAAACCACCTAATATAAATAATAAAACTATACTTAACCTAGCTTTAAATTCATTTTAACTCAAAACTTCTGGAACTACAACCAAATATGCTCGCCACTAAGCTAATGCACAAGTCACAGACAAAATAACTAATTACGATCGAAGTTTTTACCATGTCAAGATCCTAGAATACAAAAATAAATCACAATCTCGTTTAGTAATAAATTACTCTTCAACACATAATTAAAACAAAAAGCACTTCCCTTCATGTCTATGAATATCACACATCAACCATCTATTAATAAAATCTCGTTTTAGGTAAATTATTTAATTCTGAAAAATATTTTTTTATTTTAACGCGACAGAATGACAGCGATAAAGCTTAATTGTTTTAACGACACACGAATTCAAGATGTCGCTGATTAATTGGGCGGGAAATGTAAAAAAGTTTCGACGATTGTCATAGACCACATTTAGTTTTTTTTTTCTTGACTATGTTCTATTTTCATTATGCATTTGTTTTTATGGAATGATATAAATAAACGTGGTTATTACATAAGTTATTTACCTCATCAATCGATAAAGTAAATTACGAATATATGAAAAATCAATTGATCTTATTTATTACTGTATAAACTTTAACGTATATTTTAATTTTACGATAAAATTCGTAATAAATAAAATGACTAACAATGAATACCGTATCCTCATTCACGATTTATACACTAGTGGTAATGTAAAGATATTTATTTTCTCTTAACTTTACTCCTCAGTACGTGATGGCCACTCAAGCGTGTTTATTGAACAAAACAAGATAACTGAAATATAATAAAAAACCAATAACGAAGCCTAAATATAAATGCATTAGTTTATTAGTCACTGCGGTACAGTTGTGATCAAAAGTAGTTTCATTAATAGAAAACCATATGTAAAAATAGAAAATATTTATTAAAAAATCCTTGGATTATCATAATAAATATTTTCCCATTTTTTATTAAAAAAATAACCTTTAAAGCACAAGGCAGCAGTTACCATCGCTATCGAATATTCTATTCAAAGAATCGATGTCATAAGAACCAAAATTATTAAATCTTATTATCATTCTGAATTCATAATAATATTATAAGTTAAGATGATATAATAATAACAATAAGAATGTCCTTCTGATTGAAGGCAGCCAATCTCACGGAGACTGGCCGTGTAAGCAGGAAATATTAGAGTGCACCGGTATACGCGTAAACACAAGTGCATTCTCTATTCCTGTCATTCTCACATCGATACGACCGGTGAGAGATCAGGCGCAAGATGGGTTTACGTGCTTTACCTACCTACAGGCAACTTTCCTACTCCGGGCTATTACTGAAAATTTCTTGACAGAAAAACTTAACAATTAAACTTGTCGCGACCTCGGGCTAATAGATCTACAAAATATATACTAAATATAACCAATAAAAAAAGTAATTTTTATTTTAACCAGTTCAGATTTTCAGGATTTCCATATAATCATTTTTCACAGAAGGACTCGAATATATTATGAATTCTGGCCCGGAAACAGATTGACAGATACACGAAAAACAAATATAACAAAGAAAATAAAAGTTATCCACTATCGTGCATAACTATCCATCTGTCAGCGCGCATACTAAGTGATCGCGAACTCAAAACGTTTTAGCGATTCTATCGACTATCGACGCGTACATATTAATAACTGTCATAATCGATTTGATGGCGCGAAGAGAACCCGATGACAGCTTTATTTCCCGCCATTTTGGAGTGCATTTAGTAATACCGTAAACATTATCGGAATAATGTTTGATGAGTGCTTATTTTTGGTACTAAGTGTTTTTATCTAATGGCTAACTCATCGTAAAATCTATGCAGTAAAATTATTTAAGTTTTAACGGTCAGAAACTTTAATAATATCTCGTTAAAATAGACGTCACAAGGTTTTAATCATTGCTTAAATAGAAATAAAAAAAAGATTGTTTTTCTTTTGTCACGCAGCACCATTTTTTTTTATTTAGTTTATACTCATAAACTATTTACGGAGAGATACTTTTTACCAGCATAAAATGGTTGTAAAATGGCTGTAAAATAAAACAAGTATGTATTGGTAATTTGAACATTAAAGCGACGAAGTACAGGGATAGAACACCAACAGTCTAACTATATCTGTGTAAATAAATTTTGATAGGTACAAAAAAATACATTTCATCACCCACTTTTCAGTCTCTTAAATAAATGCACTATTTCCTAAGTAAAGGGCCCAAGCATGATCGAAATCTTCATTATAAAATCTACTGATTATAATCTTAATTAATATACATAAGTATACATATCTCAGTTAAATAAATTAATAATACTGGTTTATTTAAAGCATATTTCTTTTTAAATGTAATAAAGTCGTCAAATTACTACATTTCAACAAAGTTAACTGATAAATCGTTAGTATGTTAATTTAATGGTCCCTTCACATGCAAGTTATATTTGCGTTTAAACTTTAAACCAATGAGTAAGTTGTATGTTTTATTTATAAAACTATTTAATACTCACTTTTATATTTAAAATATATTTTTTTTGTCTATGGCTTTTGATGCTGAGTTATCAAAAACCAAACAGAGAGTTTAAACTTTGTTCTTGGGTATATATTTTTTTCTCGAACTTTATCTATTAGGTATATAGATATATCATCATTGTATTCTTTTTTTTTATTGTTCTAAGTCGTCATCTCAGTGCATATTTGCCCAATGACTTTACCGAAAGTGTTTTTAATACAGAATTATTGATTTTTAAATGTAAATTCTATTGGAATACACATTTTACTTTTAAAAAGCGGAAAGGATGAATTTTATCAAAATATGTATTGGTATAGATCTTACAAATAAAGCTTTGTTTTTAAAATAGAGGAGGGAAAACTCTACTGTAAAATACAACAAGTATTGGTAATTTGAATATTACAGCGACGAAGTACAGGGATAGAAGTTATAACATCAACAGTCTAACGATTGTGAATTTGTAGAAAAATCCAATTAACTTATAACCGCGCAACCAACTCTTAGCAAGTTATTAGAATAAGTCCATTATATATTCGTATTTACATGAGTAAATATAAAACAATGTCTAGTGAACACCCACTTCTATAATAACTATAAATTGCCGAAGTCATCAATCCACATCATCATCACACATACAAATCCTCATATTTCAAAATTCACTGACAGTTATTTATTATCTACAGACGAATATCTATTTCTGATTACGTAATTATTACTCACTTTTGACTTATATTCTTATTTGCACGAATGTAAAACAGAACAGAAGACAAACAGAAGTTATATAAATAAAATTTAAGTGGCTGTTTGTAATATCAAAATAACAGCATTTTACTAAATGCATATGAAATTATATATAGGTACTACTGTACTAAGAAAAACTCAATTGTTATCATTTTTGTCTGTCTGTCTTTCCGTCCGTCGGTAAATTAAGATAAAATTGTAAATCAATTCGATGATTTCTTTTTGCTAGTACAGAACTACTATATAACAATCATTTGTATAGGTCATGATCAAATAATAGACACAATATCATAAAAAGAAAAAAATAAGATTATACTTAATTAATGTTAGTTACTGTTGGTGTTGTTGGAGTATGTAACGCGCCGGCAACAGAGACCGAAGACATTAACTACTGTAAAATAATTGAATTAATATCTTTAAATGTATAATTAATATAATCGTTCCACACATTATATAAAATAATTGAAATTAAATGGGGAAAAATTGCCTTTATGCATTAAATTGATATTTTTGTCTGCACTGCATTCAGTTTTGAAATAAAATATTTTGATACTTCTAGCGCCATCTATTGACATAAAGCTACAATATATTAGTTAAGCTTATGGAAATTACTGTAACAGCCGCCATCTATCAGTACACTCATGAACTAAAACGTGGTGTGATACGCTACATTTTACACAAAACTCGTTTGTACCTCCTCCTACTCATATTATTTTATTGAACGAGAACTAAAAAAAAAATTTATTTTCTGTAATAATTCGGTTTATTACTGAGCTTGATTTAATTATGAGACTAAAAATGTATCTACGTTGGTAGAAATATGACAATATTTTGTTATAAATATAAATAATTTATATTTATTATGTAATAATTAAAGTACATAATTAAAAAATATAAATACTTTTTATTATTTTTAGTTATGATTTCACTTTTATTTATATTCTATATCAACAAAAAATTCTGCTGAAATGGAACAAATTTTCCGCAGGAGTACCAACATTACGACGTCGAAAATCAGAAATAACTTGTCGCAAATCCACCATTTTCCCTTTGTAAGTAACCGGTGTTCAAAACACGTGCGTACGATCAAGTTACATGGAAAACCAGTGCGATCGCGACTAAAATCAGTACATAAACAATACTAAAAAGTGCGTCGTGTTTCTTTTAACAGGTGTCACGTGTAAAAATACCAGAATGAACACTGAAAAACTGAAAAAACTGCAGTCACAAGTCCGCATAGGCGGCAAGGGTACTCCAAGGCGTAAGAAGAAGGTCGTCCATGCGACCGCAGCCACAGACGACAAGAAACTGCAGTCATCCCTCAAAAAATTGTCAGTAAACACTATCCCCGGCATCGAGGAAGTAAATATGATAAAAGATGACGGCACAGTAATACACTTTAATAACCCAAAAGCGCAGGCCTCGCTCGCAGCGAACACTTTCGCTATCACCGGGCATGGGGAAAATAAGCAGATCGCTGAAATGTTGCCAGGAATCTTGAGCCAGCTCGGCCCTGAAGGCTTAAACCAGTTAAAGAAAATCGCGTCTAGTGTAGCCCCGCCGAAACCTCTAGACGAAGACGACGAAGTACCTAACCTCGTTGGCAATTTTGACGAAGCGTCGAAACAGGAGGCCAAAGAGGTAATCACTGATGAGAAAGAAAAGGAAAAGGAGAAAAAACCAGAAACAGAAACCAAAGCCGCGGCGGACAAGAAAGTTGATTAAATAGACCCCCATGAAATCTAGTTTTTAATTTTGCTCACCTGACGAAGTGAACGACAGTGGGTTTCCAAAGGCATTGAGATGTGTCTCATATTTTTTTGTTTTGTATTTTTGTGTTCCTAAGCGTTCTGAACTGATCGGTTGGTGATGGTGCCTAGGGGACATTGTGACTCATGACTTTGGAAATTCTCTATACAGCCATCCCATATGCTTTTTTATGCCATGCACTAACATTAGTTTGTACCATATAATGCAAAATGAACTCATGTTATAGAAAATAGAATAATACTGTTGTTAAGATATTGGCAATATAGGAACTTTAAAGATTGATACATTTTCATATGACACCCAATAAATAAAGTTAATTATATGTATAATAAAGATGGTGTAGATGCACCTTTTAATATTTTATAAAGAAGAATTTTTCTAAAGTTGTTAATTCATTCTGGTCTAAAGAAAAAGAATTGCTTTCTCATTTGAACCTAGGTTTAAAAAATTAAATTTAGTCAGACAGCTCTTTAGGTTAACAGAGCTAATATTGTATAATAAAACATAAAAATGGCAAAAATGTAAAAGATCAGGTTTCTTGTTATGTACAGATATGACATAAAACTGGTCGAAGAACAATTTGTTTCATTTAAAATATACCTATAGATTAATGATAAATTTTATATGCTAAGCTTATATGATTATTTTCTTAAATATATCTAATGGAGATTATCTAACATTATGGCTACTTGAAAATTATTTTATGGTTTTTTATTATCAACAAAGCTATGCCTGACTCAAAAAGTAATAATTTTAATTTAATTAAACCAAAAATATATTATTTCGTTTTTACTTTATTTAATATTCATCATACTAAATAAATAAATTATTTAAGGAAGTAAGTTATAAAGTATGCAATAGTGTCAACAGTAGTTTACTCTGGCAAAACAAATTTTGATAAAACTTTTATTACTTCATAAGTTGATGATAGAGGTTATATTAATGAGTATGCTTACTGTACACGTGCGTCATATTAACAAGAAAAGAAACGCGAGAACGCGAATGGAATATTTAATTGATAAAAATCAAGATAGTGGTTCTATCAAATATTATTTAAACAAAATATTACCGATAATAATCTAATATATAAGTCATACATTGAATATTAAAATTTAAAGCTAGCAAAATAAGAAATAAAAGTATTATTTTGCTATAATATTTAAAATTTAATTCAAAACAAAAAATTAAATTTTTCAAGTCGGCATGACGGTTTCGGTTTAACATCGATAATAATACATTATCGATTATGACAATCGCTAACCATGAAATGATCGATTTAGTTTTTGTAAATATGCTACGCATCTAAAAACTATAACTTTGTAAACAAAGTTATTTAGGCAGTTTTTTGACAATGATATAACTTTTATTTAAATAAACTGCAGGTTTTATTTTACCGATTTCTTCGCTGGTTATTCTAAATATAACGTCTTCTCCATTCGACGCAACATTAGCGAAGTAAATTGTGCCCAAACGACATTGCTAAGAGCTTAGAGTATATGTATAAGCATATGTATATTGTATACTCTAAGGCTAAGAGTCACTGAACAAAAGAATTGAATTATATTTTATCAAATTTAAAATACAAAATTGGACAAATGCTTTTGAGTTCCGGAACCCTAAAAAAAAAAATTTTGTATGACTCCATCTTTGAGATATAACATGATTTTGAATTATTATATTAGATTCACAAATGAAGGAGAAATCGCTAAAGATACATATACCTAGAAGTTTAATATTTACTTAATTTTTATACACGGTAAAATTTTATATTATTTAGGTTTTTATTAATATTAAATACGAATGATATCTTATCTTCTAACCACATAATGAATGTAACAATGAGAAGTTATTTTTTGTGGTTTTAAGTTTAAATATCAAATATGTTACTTTACGATTTACATCTGTAAAATACCTTCGCGACGTAAATACTATGACACGTTTGGCTTCATTGTGTGTGGTACACACAGCAAATATGCTGTGCCAGTAGGTGCAGGTTCGAGTCCCGGTGGAGGCATTCATTTGTGTGATGTCCTCATCACACAAATGAATGAATGGAGCAGGAATGCTTGGACTCAAGACATGAGCGTTTATATTTATAATATTTACGTATTTAAAGTTATATATTATGTGTAGTTTATGAACTATTTGGTATTCATAACACAAGCCTCATAGCTTACCATGGAATTAGATGGTGTCGTGTGTTAATGTCCCAACATATTTATTTATATAATAATTATGTAATGAAAATAGGAGGTACAAAAAAGATTTTAATAGTATAGAGATTTTAATGTTTTACGAAATACAATATGTCTAATTCAATGGTACTTTATCATATCGTATGTATCAGCATACTTATAGAGGCGGCGATTTAGAATTGGGGACTTGGCCCCTAGCGGAGTGGGTGGTATTTCTGGATAAGGGACGTGATAGAGAGTCGAAATGTTAAATAAATTTTTTAATACAACAAAAGAGTCAAAAGTTATTGAGACTTAAAGTTATAACATTTCCATACATTATTTTGACATTACTACCATTTAGACACTTGGAGTCAAAACGTCACTTTCAATTGTCAAAATGATCTCCAGATGATTGTCTTTATTTGTACTTTGCGTGAAATTCGAATTTTCTAGTTTTCTAGTCATTTATGGCACTCGCCGGCCGCTACCGCGGCACGCTCGCTTCGCTCGCTCGGCTCGTGCGTTGTGGCAACTGTTCTAACCTAACCTAACCAAGATATGACGAATAATTAATAAATAATCTTAAATGTTCTAACCTAACCTAACCCAGATATGAGGAATAATAAATAAATAATCTTAAATGTTCTAACCTAACCTAACCCAGATATGAGGAATAATAAATAAATAATCTTAAATGTTCTAACCTAACCTAACCCAGTTATGACGAATAATAAATAAATAATTAAAAATATTCACAGATAAAAAAATGATTTTTTTTACTAAATGTACAATTGTAAAACAATATATTTTACATAAATCAAATAAAAAGTCATAAATGTATTTATAAAGTGAAAATAATATTTTTCTTTTTATTTATTTATTTATTAATAGTAATATTTTACCAACAGAAAAAGCAAAAATAATCAAATATAATCTGTTGTCATTTAAGCGGTAATATAAAACAAAGTGTCAGTTTTGCTTTTGTCAAAATGTAAGATCATTTTGTTTGTGTTGTGAAATTATTAAAATATTAAATACAATAAAGCATTAATTGTTGTGAAAATGTGTAATGTACATAAAAAAGGATGCGTACTATTCGTTAAAGGTATGTTTATCTGTTGTAATCACTTATTTAGGTAAAGAAATGTATGGAAATGTGTTAGATATGTTATAACTTTAAGTCTCAATAACTTTTTACTCGTACGTTTCCTCCAAATATTTTTAATATAGTTTAACTCTCTGTCACCTCCCCTATCTAAAAATACCACCCACTCCGAATGGTGGTAAAGAAATATATGAAAATGTATGGAAATGTTGTAACTTTAAGTCTCAATAACTTTTGAATCTTTTGTTGTATTAAAAAAATTATTTAACATTTCGACTCCCTATCACGTCCCTTATCCAGAAATACCACCCACTCCGCTAGGGGCCAAGTCCCCAATTCTGAATTTGTGCCCTTATAGATTTCAATATAATATTTTGTTATATACAATAACGATGCAATATTAGTTATATTATAGTGAACAAGGAAGAAATTTAAATTTTTTGCATGAAATTTAAAATCACATCAATTTTGTGTTGTTTTGTTGTGTTTTTATTACAATAGCAAAAAAATATTTTACCGTTTAATTATTTATCTGCATTAAAATGAAAATTATATTAAATGTCAATGTCATTATAAAAATTTTGATTTTTGGCTTATTTTGAATTTGATAGGTATTTCATAATTTTATGATTTATCCCACAAATCTTTATTTTGAATAATTAATTTACATCTAATTTCTCCATATTGTATTTTCTAAGCTTTTCCAATAAAGTGATAGTATTAAAATAAAATGATAGCGAGGCCCTGGACAGATGATTTACCAAAATGTCGGAATACTTGTGTAGCTTCATATTTTTCTCCAGTCGAGGGAAATGCCAATACAAACGATGAATATTTTTGTTTTTACTGTCACACGGAAGATAACTCGTAAGTATGAGTTGCTTGTGTATAAGTTGACAATTATTATACAACTACACTACATTTTTATATAAATATTTATAATATTATTGTGTTAAATTCTTCTTTTATTGCGTGTTGATTAAAATAATTTTATAAAAGGCTATTGCAGAATCGGTCATCGCTTAAGGATACCAATACAAATCAAGTATAGAATATCTAAGCTTGGTTTAACTATTTATAAATAAGAAAAAAGAAAGGGAATATATCAATAAATGAAGAATTCAATCATCAAAAATTTGTATCTTTTTAACATTGCAGGTGTTTATATGGTGTATTTGAACCCCACAATGGCTTGGATGCAGCTAGATTCATTATGCAAAGAATGGCGGCAGAAATACTATTTGCACCACCATCTAGCACTAACACTGATGAAGAAATTAGAGAAAAACTAAGGTATATATTTTTTTTTAAATCGGGATTAACTGGTCTTAACCTATGCAATTTTATGTGAAATTAAATTAAATTTCTATAAAAAATATATAATACAATTTTAGAAATATATATAACAACTTTAGCAGCAGAATTGTTAAAAAATATGACAATAAATAACTTATTTTTATTTCAGAAATGCATTTATTTCTGTAGAGAAAGCATATATAGAGAATTACGATGGGATGATAGCAGAGCGAACCAGTTTACAGTACAGGTTGCAAATATTGAAAGGATATACAAACACTGCACAGGTATTAAATATTTTATATGAAGTATATTTAGAAAAGATAAGTACTTATTTCAATATTTGGTTCCATTTGCTGATCATAATGTTATATGTTATATTCATCGATCAAAAAAGTACTAAATACACAATCAGCGACAAAAAATATCCTCATCGAATGAGCATTTGAACATTTGAGAGTGCTTTTAATTTTTTTTTGTGACAACATTACTTTGAGCATTGCATTTAAGGTTCAATTTACATTGTTGTATATTTATTTCTAGAATAATTACCTTAACACAATTGGTGTCAGTTTTAAACTTTTAAGAGAACTTTTGCATGGGATTGTGTATCTAGTACTTTTTTGATCAATGGTTATATTTTTGTTTACTATTAAGCTTTTAGTCAGTTTTCCTAAATATTTGATTTTATATCATTTGTATTGTAATCATTTTTAAAACTAATAAGCTAAATGCTTGTAATTTAACTGTTTTAAAACCTTAAAAAAAATAAAAGATATAAAATAAAATTTAATTTAGTAAGAATAAATAAAAATTAAAAATGCTACTTAAAGAACTAGAAACTAATCAAGTTTTTATTTCTTGAACTAAATTTTTTTTCATTTTACTTTAGCCTATTTCTTTACAGGTTTCAGAAAACATTCTTGTCCGATTAAAAGAAATAGACCAGCACTTATCGGGAGGAGCAACGGTAGTGATAGCCCTAGTTCATAACAACAAGTTGTTTGTAGCCAACGTGGGAGAAACTCGGGCTTTATTATGCAGAACTGATGATAACTGTGTGTTGAGGGTTTTACAACTGAGTGTGGAACACAGCGCTCAGAATGAAGATGAGCTTCTAAGGCTCGCTCAGTTAGATGTGGATGTAAATAAAGTTAGAAATGGTTAGTTTTTTGTTTTTGTTAAACAAACTTATATTAGCTTCACTTGTATCTAACAATGTACATAAATCTTATGATGTGATCTTAATATTTCAAATAAAACATATCTTTTTGGATTTTTGAGAGGATTTATTTTGATTTTTGGTTTCCGACTTTTAGAATGCTTCACAGTAATCATGATCACGGGAGAGACTAAGGTTTTTGACATCTCAAAGGTTTCACTATACAGTTGTTACAGATAGTGCCTACCCAGAAAAAAAAATGGCACAAAAATAAATCCACAGAAAAATCTGAAATGATAGTTTTATTTTAAATGTCAAATATATATAAATCTAAGATAATATTATGATTCTAATATTTTTCTAAATCATATTCATTTAATATGTACAATATAAATAACAATACAATAATCTGATACCCTCAAGTTGATCTGATGATGCAACCAGGAGCAGGAGCTGAATAGTGGAACTCTTTAATATACCATTCAGCTTGAGTGCATTTGATTCATTTTTACAAGTCCCATACAACAACAGTTAACAAGCATGTTTATTATGATTTTTGCAGCTATTATCTTATAAACTAAATAAGCAATCTATATGAATATTATAAATGCGAAAGTAATTCTGTCTGTTGTTACCTTTTCATGCTTGATCTGCTGAACTGATTTAGAGGTTTGGTGTGAAGATAGTTTTAGACCCTGGGAAGGACATAGGATAGTTCTTATGCCGGAAATCATCCCTTAAGGACTTGAAAAGGGGGGTGGAAGTTTGTAAGTGGAACCTATCATTTCCGAACAAATCCAGAAAAAACATTTTTTTTCTAAAACAGCAGAGCTAAGCTCAGTTGCCCAGGTACTTAAATTACTATATTATCATAATGTGCACTATAAATTTCCAGCTCAATATCTAGGAAATCAGACAGGCACTAGATGCCTCGGCAATTACTTAGTGAAAGGTCTTTATAAGGCCTTCCCGACCATCAGTTCAGCATCTTCCGAACCAATCATAGCTGAGCCTGAAATACATGGCCCTATCGCTTTGGATGAATCTTGCAGGTAAAATGCAATTCCTACATCTATACTAATATTATAAAGAGAAAGAAATAGATTTTTTTATGTTTGTAATGGATAAACTAAAAATCCGCTAAATCGATTTACATGGTATTTGGTATGAAGTTAGTTTGAGACCCTGGCGAGGACATAGGGTAGTTTTATCCCGGAAATCATCCTCTAAAGGGATGAAAATTTGTGTGGGGAATCAATCATTTCTCAAGTAAGGGATATAAAACTACTAACCGTTAAAACATACCTAGGGACGAACTCGAGCGAAGCGATTTTTAATATTATTAATGACACTAAAATTGCTTCAATTTGTGATAAAAACGTATTATTACTGAAATAATATTATATAGCATATGTTATTTTTGGATAATGTGGTTTTTCAATTTTCATACTTCCATTTTGTAGTCTATTGACATCCTATACTAACTATCATTCAAACTTCCAATATATCTATCTATATAAATAAAAATGAATGTTTGTTCACTATGTTCTGATTGTGATGGAACTGGTGGGTTATTATGTATACGTCTGAACGCGAAGGTTCCACGAACAAAAAAAAATAATTGTTTGGACCTTTGTCTTTTATGCGTTCCTAAACCAAATTAATATTATAAACGTGAAAGTTTGTGAGTATTGATGTTTGTTACTCTTTCACGCCAAAACGGCTGAATAGATCTGGATGAAATTTGGCACAGAGATAGATTATAGTCTGGAATAACACATAGGCTACTTTTTGTCCCGGAAAAATTTACGGTTCCCGTGGAATAGATTTGTTTTTGATTTTCACAGAGAAAAGGAACGACTATCTTACTTATTTTATACTAATCGTTAATACTGATATAAAAATATTATATTATTACAGATTTCTAGTCCTAGTGAGTGCGGGAGTGTACAAAAAGATACAAGAAGTTCGAGGTAGCAGTGAACAGACAAACAAACAGCTCGCCCAAATCATAGTGGAGAACTTTCGTAAACAAAACGACTTCAGAAACGTCAGCCAATCAGTCTTAGACGAAATCGAGCAGGAATTCCTTACTTATTGCATGAAAAACAATCTAACACCAAAACCAAATACGCATATGACATTGTTAATACGTAATTTTAATTTTCTCCCACCCATACCCCAAAATGACACAACGAATTCGATTCAAAAGAACGCGGTCCGATTCAATCCGATTGTTCAATCGAAATCGAATACGTTGTTGAATGAAATCGATTCTGAATTATATTCGTCGGAAACGAACGATTCGAATATCGATACTAATAGATCGATGGAGTCGTCGTCCGATATTTATCCGAGTAGGCCGTATGATAAAGATAGGAGAATAAAAGGTTATGTGGATTTTTCATGTTATTACGAAAATGTTGCGAAAGCAAGGAAAAATGGCACTTTACCTAGTTTTATTGAGTAGCCAGTTATATTTATGAAGTGAAAACTTCTATAGGCAGGTTTGGATGGGGAGTAAATTCATGTAAGTCGTCATCGACATGGTCACGTGACGTGTTAACGCTAACACTCAGAGTGCCGATAGATATCAAAACCAGATAAATGTAAACGGATTTAATTTACACATTTTAATTTAAGATCAAATCAATTAATTTAAATATCCAGAAATAACAACTTTGTTTATTGTTGAGATACTGCATTATTTTTTGGGGTAATTCGGCAGATAGTGATGTAGCTTTTAAAGCACAAAAAAAAGTATTCGAGCAATATTTAAATTAAAAATGATTGAAAGTTGTAGACTATATTTTAAAATTGGCTGAATATTACATTAGTAAGATCTAAATGTAACCTAATTTCGCAAATAAATATATTGATTTGATACTTTTAAGTTTTCACTTTGGGCAGTCCTCATGACAGCTTTTTTTGCCAGTCATGACCCCATTTTGTTTTAAGTGCGAGATATAAAGCTCAAACTTTGTAAAAATAATCGATTTAAATGAGATAGTAATGTTTTAGTTGTTTAATATGTAAATTCTAATCTACAGATTATAATGCCAAAAATAATGAATTACAAAAAATATTTTCTACCGCCTTTTGTCGGATTTCTGACAATTTTAAAATTAATTAGTTTGTAAATGTTTACGTTTGTTGTCAAATAGTTATCAATTTTCAATACAGCCATTTAATGGCAGTAGAATAATAAATTTTAAACAATATTAATAAAAAGTTTTTTTTGACATTTGCAATTTTTCTAAAAAGAAAACTGTAGCTAACAACTAACATATAGGATTTAAATAAAACTATCTTTTCGGATTTTGTCGCGGATTTATTTGGATTTTTCTTTCCCGACGTTTTGAATGCTTTACAGCATTCATGGTGACGGGAGAGAATTTTAAGCAAATTAATTGACAAAATGAAAGCTCCCGTCAACCCTAAAACCGTCTCCCGAGTGTCATATAAAAGTATGTACTCGTATATAAGTCGGGAGCGCCTCCCCCGCGTCGTTATCCACACGATTGACTAGAAGTCGTTAGAAAATAGTATGGATAAGTACTGTGCTTTTTCTATGTACTATATGTTGTTTGTTACATTAAAACGGCCAATTTTTTTATTATCTATTCTACTGTTTGAGTTTCACCATAGTGAGTGATTTTTTTTTTGGGCCTGGGCCCATTCTTTATTGGTACTTACTGTATAAGAATAGTGGAATATGCGTGATTTTTTTTTATACAATATTCAACTCCACAAAACTAACATTTTGTATTTATTTTTTTAAATATTATACCCCTACGAATACTCAAAATGCCAGCCATTTCGCGAGCTTGGCGTGACGTCACAGTATATCATACACAGAAAAATTAAGCAATTGGTAGATGATATACTCTCGTCGTATTCGGTCTGACCAATGGCGTGCGTTTCAACCACTTTGAATTTTCCACTTATTTTATTAAATCAATTACCTTCTTAATCAAAAAGAAATTACATTAAAAATATTAAAATAGGTTTAATTCAAAAGCAATAAAGATTATAAAAAATATATATATATTGCAACTTTATTTAAATCGCACGCATATTCCCTATATCATGTAATGCTGTTAGGTCGCAACTGAAGATACTTGGTGTTCATTTTTTATTGTTACAGTATTTTATATTTGCATTTGTGTTGAATAAAATGTTTTTTTTTTTATTTCTTTATATTAATATATATATATATATATATATATATATATATATATATATATATATATATATATATATAATATATATATATATATATATATATATAATATATATATATATTTCACTTTTATTTAAATCACACGCATATTCCCTATTTGCAAAGACACCGAGGAACATACCCACAAGCCATAAATTTAAATAAATATGACAAAAAATAAATGAACATTTCAATAGTAAAAACTATTTAATCGAATGAAAAGAGAATACAATATGGGTTATTTATTATTATATAAATGCTTATTTAAACTGGTTTGTAGTCGAGCTTGCTCTCTAACTTCTTATTGTCGGCGACTTTGCGTACCGCCTTCATTAGATCCTCCTGAAAAATGAAATGTATATATAAAATAATAATATCATGACAAACTCACATACAAATATATTATGATAGATATATAACTATCAGTCACGAATCTTTTTATCGTTTTTGTAAAAATGTGCATATGTTTTTTTTTTCAAGTAAAACTTGTTTAGGCGTGACTTGAGGGGAAGTCAATACATTGGAAAAATAAGTGTCACAGAAGTGAGAGTCAAAATTACTAATAATTTTAAAAATATATACATATTTAATAATGAGTACTTACAAAAATGAGCTATTACTAATAACTTTATAATAATTAATAATTATTATATTTATATTTTGATTTGTTTTAATTTAATTGCGGTATCTGCCACAGCGCCAAAGAAGTTTTACTTCAACTGCGCTTAAATGTTCCATTTTTATATTTCTATTTAATTTAATGAGATGTATCACTTAAAGTCCCCAATAAAAGATTACGTAACACAAATACGCACATACACACAATAGAATTACTTTCATATATTTTTATCTTTCTGACAAAATAATTAAAAAAAACATGCATTTGTCATTTTTAAAACAAAGGTAGATAGTGGAACTATTCAAAAGAAAATAAAAATGAAAATAAAATTAATAATTACTATTCTTGTACTGTCCGGATACACATATAATTCAAATACAGGTTACTCATACTAAAAGAAAATCGATTCAATAATAACAAATATTAAAAAATCGATTCCCAAAACTCGAATACATGGCAACAAGCAAACCCAGCACTAAAACCAAACATATCAAAACGTAACCAGATCGTCTCAAGTACCTCTTTCTGCAATATCAGTCAAACTAACCTGCACAATATACTCTCTCTCCGCTCGTATGGCAAACAACCCTGCTTCAGTACAGACATTGCGCAAATCTGCACCGTTGAATGTATCGGAGAGCTTCACCACAGCTTCATAGTCCATCTCACCATGTTTTGCTATCGGTGCTGCATGAATCTTCAGGATCTCTAACCTGGAAAAGTTTATATTGGATTGTATTCAGTCTTTAACATCCCACTGCTGGAGGTGGGACTATCTTCAATATGAGGGGATCAGGCCATAGTCCACTATGCTGGTCAAGTGCGGGAGAACTGAGCATATCTTTTGAAATCTTGCTAGGTTCTCTCAGACCCATGATTTGAGATACATCCACGCATTCCTAAGAAAAAGGATTTTGACAGTTAGACAATTCTTGGAACATATACTAGTATAAATGAATAAAATATAAATATGTTGAGATATTACCACACAGCACCATCTAGTTCCATGGTAAGCTACGAGGCCTGTGCCATGAATACCAGATAGTTGATATACTACACATATATAACTTTAAATATATACATTTCATAAATATAAACGCCCATGACAGGAGTACAAGCATTTGTGCTAATCACACAAATGAATGCCTCTAGTGGGTCTCGAACCCGCGACCGCTGGCAATGCAAGTACCACTAGAAACTGAGCCATATGTGAGACTATTATAATTAATTCATCCACAAAACAACTGTCTTACCTGGCTTGCTCATTCGGCAGAGGTATTTCAATCTTCCTATCAAGACGGCCAGGCCTCAACAGGGCTGGGTCGAGTGTGTCAGGTCGATTAGTAGCCATAATGATCTTGACTTGCCCCAAAGAATCGAACCCGTCCATCTGGTTAAGCAACTCCATTAGTGTACGTTGGATTTCACGATCTGCACTAGTGCCTTCTGAGAAACGTCTGCCACCTGGAAATTATCCGATTAATATAATAAATGCGAAAGTTTGTATGGATGGATGTTTGTTAATCACGCCAGAACTATCAATCTGATCTGAATGTTTGACACAGAGATAGATTATAGTCTGGAATAGCACATAGGTTTTATTATATACAAGAAAAATGTATGGTTCCCGTGGAATATCCATATCTAATATCTGATATATTTAAACAAGCAATTCTTGTATATATATAAATATATAATCTGAATCTCGGGAAAGGCTCCAACGATTTTCATGAAATTTAGCACACAGGGGGTTTCGGGGGCGATCAATCGATCTAGATTAGTCTTATGTCTGGGAAAACGCGTGATTTTGAATTTTCATGCGGTTTTCTTTTGCATTATTCCACGCCAAATATGGTCGGTAATTTGCACGCTCGGGTATAAGCATCGTGTTCAAGCGGCCAAGGTGCAAGATCAACAATCACAGGTGTCCGCGTTTGAATCTCGGTCGCATACAAAGTTTTTACTTTTTTTATATTTATTCAAGTATTTAGTTTTTTTTTTAAAAAAGACGCAAGATTGACAATCATAGGTGTCCGGGTTCGAATCTCGGTCGGATACAAAGGTATCATTTATTTTTGTTTTTTTTTTTTTGTATTTATCCAAGTTTGTTGTTTAGTTTAAAGAAAATTGTACTTTTGAACCAAAAACTCCGAGCGAAGCTCGGTGGCCCAGGTACTTTATCATTAAAACGTAACTCTAGGGAAGAACGAAGAGAGGGTGAGTCGCTTAGCTTAGTGTTATATACTCAAACTAAGGAATAATCATGAACGAATTAACCACTGGACTAGACATATAAGCGGACGTACCTTTAACGGTCATGTCAGTAACCAGGGAATTTTAGCCTAGGTCGTTTGTTTCTTGTGTCAGTCTCAAGCACTTACTTGTCAACAAAACATCTCCCAAAAATGACTAAATGTTCTGTTAAATGGTGTCAAAACTATAACGGCGGAAGCAGCACTATTTCTTTTCACTTGTAAATACATTATTTTATTACATTTATTGTTATTTATCACAAAATTTAATTAAATGTAAAATAAAATGTCATATTATCCAACTATGTTAAATATAGTCGATATTTCTATGTATTGTTGACATCTGACAACCATCATAAACGGGCTGGATTATACCATTCAGAACAAATGACAAAACTGTCGAGTGAGTCCATTTGACATCGACTAGTGCTTGACAATGTCGAAAAATATATCGATATTTGACGAAATAACTGAACGAATTGTGTTATTTGTACAGTACAATAACATAAAATACTTTTATCACAGTATCTTAAAATCCGATGACAATAAATTATTAAAAATATTTTCTACATGAAATAAAAATATAAATGCAAAAATTATAATTAGTATGTGTACTTAATTTTTTATTTTATTTTATACCACATTTTTATATATACTTTGGAATATTATTCCATTGTAATAATAATAAAGATCATTTTATTTCAACACTTAAATTATATAAAATCAAACAATAACGTTTTAGCACTAAACTTCTGGGTTGGCGATTTGTAATAAAACACTTTACCACTTGCACTAATTATTTTACTTTCACGATCCAACACTCATTTTTTCACAATTTGCAATCACTTTTTCTTTTTCCTAATTTCACAAATGTTTATTAATAACTGAGCAATATTAGGACAGTGTCACATTTTTATAACTACCCGAGACAATCAATTGCCAATTAAAATAGTTCAATAACAGAATCAACAAAATCACTTTATTTAATTAAATTAGCTTAATATTTTTTTAATCTTTACAAAATAATATTTATTATATATTAATGGAATATACACCCGATATTCATTTGTTTATTAACATTATTATAGGCCAACAGAATGTTGCCATCAATGCCATCGTATTTATATAAATCAAATTAAAAAATAATTATTATTTGACACATTATTATTGCCTCTTTAATTCATTTATTTTAATTTATTATAATAAATACAGATATTTTAAATTAAAAGATGTATAATATGATGACTATGCTAACCAATGTCTAAAATGTCATTCATTGGTTCATCATTCATGTATTTTATCGATTACGTTCAAACACTAGAAATATTGTATTGTGTATCAGTGTTTATAATAATGTAATAAAATTTTTGTGTGCGTTATGCGTCACTTGGTTGAACTAGTTTTCATACATTTGTATTTTATGTCAGGTCCAGTCTCTAATTCGTCCATGGGAATAATATAGGCATGAGTGTCACAGAACTAAACATCCAAACAATCAACCAACCAGCCAGCCTGCCAGTGACATGATCACCTCTCTGTGGAAAATATTAGGGCATCTAGAAGGACCAGATCCCGCCTAATGCCACATATTTATAAGATTTGGATTTAGAAGGATTTTTTGTCCTTTTTGATGATAAAACTAAACTTAATATTAAGTTCAAAAGGAGTCTTAAAGGAGTCTTAAAGGACTGTAACCTATCTACCAATTTCCTGTGCTGATCATCATACCTTAAGATACAATCAATATACATATACATACCAATAGCATCAATTTCGTCCATGAATATGATGCAGGGCTGGTGGTCCCTTGCATAGTTGAACATCTCGCGGATCAGACGAGCTGACTCACCAATGTATTTGTCCACTATAGCTGATGACACCACCTGGAATGTTTAATTTATATATTAACAGTTAGTATCTAATAGATAGACTAAATCTATACATATAATAAAATTTTAACTCTGAATCTGTCTCTGAAATCGAATCTGTACATTAAATATTTTTTGAAAAATCTTATTGAAATAAACATTATATGATTTCTTGTGGGTTTTATTATAACGTATTTTCCCGTGTGAATGAGATAATCTTCCACAATAAAAAATAGGCTATGTCACTCTCCAACCCCTCCCCCCACTACCTCCATACAAAAATCACGCCAATCCGTCACTCTGTTTCGACGTGAAGAAAGACAAACAAACACACACACCCTTTCACATTTATAATACTTGACATTTTCGTTCTTTTCGCAGTTTCATTTTGGTTTTTTTTCATATCCATGTCCTACTCAAAATCCTGTACAAATTATAAATCATTAGCAACAATTCTGATTTGGCCTTAAAAATACCTTCAAAAAGTTAGCATCCAGTTGCGAAGCAACAGCCCTAGCCAACAACGTCTTTCCTGTCCCTGGTGGTCCGTACAGGAGGCAGCCCTTGGGTGGAGTGATTCCGACTCGCACAAACAGTTCTGGGTTCATGAGTGGCAGTTCGATTACCTGTTGAATATAATGTGTTATACTAATGTGTAACAGAACTATTATAATAGCTAGTTTATATGTTTGTATTAGTTATCTCTTGATGCTGGATGCATTTTCATGAAATTACAAGTGTAAAGATTATGACCTGAAGCATCATATAAGCTACTGCTAATCACCTAGGCTTAAGGCGCAGGATCAACGACTTTATGTGACAACGTCGCCAACTTATCAACTGTGAGCTACTACTGAAAATATTTTAATAGAACAACTCAATAATTAAACTTGGCCCAGCCCGGGACTCAAATCCAGGACCTCCTGATCTGCAGCTGTATATGCTAGCCACTAGGCTACCGAGGAAGTCACCCTAGAGAACCCTAGAGAATGCTAGCTTAGAAAACCAATTGCAGCGGGGTCAGACTGAGTATATTGCACCTCTAAAACTTTTAAGTGTGAATCTCATTTCTTTATGATTAACACTAATAGGGCAATTTTAGGGCACTATTAGGGTTTATAGGGCAACATTGTAAGTTAAATTGTCTGAATGAATATGGGAGAAACTATCATCTTTTTTTATATTTATAATATGTATGAATATAAAGTTATATATTATGTGTAGTGTATCAACTATACGGTATCCATAACATAAGCCTTGTAGCTTACCATGAAACTAGATGGCGCTGTGTGTTAATTTCCCAACATATTTATTTATTTATTACTATTGGATTATTTATTACTATTATTATTGGAAGACATGTGAAGTCTGCCAAATTGTACTATATGGGCATTAAAAATAAAATTTTAAAAGTTGTATTTATATAATTACCTTCCAGAAACACTCATCTCTATACAATTCTAAAAATATATATTACCTCTCGCAATTGCCTAATTTGTTCCTGTAGACCACCGATAGCAGAGTATGTGACGTCTCCTGGGTCTTCATGACTCATGTTGTATACTAAAGGATCAACCTGTAAATAAATTATAAGACTGTTATAGCTATTTCAAGGTATGTTATATTTAATATTGTATTAAAAAAATGTCAATTAATTATATCTAACTTGTTTTAAATGATATGAAAATAAAAATAATACTAAAAGTCTTAAACCTTCCCAATACAAGTAAATAAATAGAAAATATTTGATGTACACCTACCAACTATATAAATCAAGAATGAAAGTTATAATTTTATATTAAAATTTTGTATCTTGATCAATACAAATTGTTTCAGGTCTTACATACCTCTCTTGGAAGATGTCTCATGATGGTAAGAGTTGTCATGTCCAGTGCCACTCTAGTACCACCTTTTAACTTATTTTTATCCAGTTGACGACGGCAACCCACCACATACCTTGGACCATTTGTAGCTTTTACAATAACTGAAAAGTGTTAAAAGAAAATCTAGTTCTATTAAAAAATAATATTAAAAGTTCTAATCATATATTTAAAACGATAGTTTTTTTGTATACAATAGATTTGTTATACTTACATTTCTCTTCTGTCAACTGTTTTAATACTTCACCAACAATTTGACCAACACTTTGGAGAGCTTTTAAATCATTTTCACTTTTATCATACTGTTTTGTTAGATCTTTTAACTGTTCTCGCACTGAAATAATTATAATAAATTGTATACAATGAATCTTAAATGACTGACCATTTTGATTAAAACAAGCAGAAAATAGATTTATGAATTTGTTCATTAATTACTTCGATATTTTAGTTTTATCAATATTTATATCAATATTTTTATCAAAACATATCATTGTTTTGATAAAAATAATAGTATAAAATAGGTTTTGTTGTTATATAGGTGTCTAAAGTAGCTAATGATGATTCGGCAAAATCGATTACAATACATACTGTCTTTTAATCTGGATTCCACTTCTTTATGTTCCATTAACTTCTTACGATAGTCTTGAAACGCCTTTTCTCTCATTGAATCCATGGTCGTCATTATTTATTAGATATTCTTATATAAAATAATTGTAACGCTAACAAAACGATTTATATTCAGTACTTTTTTGACATTGACAAGTAAAGTAAGATGAGATTTCATTATTCATGTCACAGATTAAGGAATAAAATTCGTTCGTTATTTTTATTCTATAGTTTAGTGTTGTCGAGAGATAGGGAGCCTCTGTGTATGAAAAAGTTTCCATCAAAACTCGTCCAATACGGGTGACGCTGCGGTAGCGTAGGATAAATTTTAAAGGAATTAAAAGTAATTACTTAATTAGAGTGAGAAAGAGAAATAAACAAGATGGTTACATTTACTAAACTATTACACATACGACACGCTTGGCTCATTTTGTAGTGACCCTTCTTGCTGTGCCAGAGTTCACGGGTTCGAGTCTCGATGGGGGCATTAATTTGTGTCATGAGCAAGAATGTGTGCACTCCAGTCATGGGTGTTTATATTTATGGTATCTATGTATTTAATAGATATATACATATGTGTAGTGTATCAACTGTCTATCTAGTGTCCATAACAAAAACTTTGTAGTTTATCATGGAACTAGATGGCATGTTTTAATGCCCCAACATACTTATATTTTATTTATTTATACTAGTATTTTATTAACTACCTACTTTAGTCATTAAAATATTTTTTTTGAACTCGGCATACTTCGCTCCGTCTACAACAGCTAAATTCATATCGTAGTTTTTCTTACGCCAGCGTCACTCTGGTAGGTATGTAGGTACTAGAACCTATATTTTTAGCATAGACTTTTTCAACTTCTCTATATAAGACGGTTCTCTTTATCTCTACCCTCCATAATTATTATGATAAAACTGCGATTATTTTTTGTTGAACTCACATACTTTAATAACAGAATTCTTTATTTTTACACTTTCATAGATGTAATAAGTATAAAATAAATAAAAATATATAATGAGAACCTTAAATGTATTCTAACGCTACCCATGTATATTTATATAACATAATCCATATATGTTTATATAACACTAGCATTTCCCGCGGTTCCGCTTGCGTTCAGATGACCAAAAACAAATTCTTAGGTTTTACATATTACGAGTAGTATACCCTTACATTGCGGTTTTTGTATTTTTTCTCAGAAATGAGATATTTTCCCGCGGTAAAAAGTATCCTATATGTTGACCCGGATAACCAGCAATCGCCATACCAAATTTCATCAAAATCCCTCCGGTGGTTTTTCTGTGATGCGGTAACAGACAGACAGACAAAAAAATTAAAAACTATAGATTCAGCCTCTGTATGGAAAATAATGTTTATTTCAATAAGATTTTCCAAAAAATATTTAACGTACAGATTCGGCTTAGTTACAATTTTATTATATGTATGGATTATATAGAGAATGCCGAGATTCTTGTTAGAGTATTAGTTTTTACCTGCGGCTTCGCTCGCGTGGTAAAAGAAGATGAGTTAAATAATGTAAACTATGTATGTTCGTCTATAGTCTCTACGATACCTCATATTATATTATAGAAATGCCTTTAGTATAATATCCTAGCCAAACATCCAAACTTGTTCAGTTACTAATTTATTTATAATATTAGTATACATACCTACTCGTACAATCTATAAATTATACAAACAAAAATAATTAGAAATATACTGGTCCTATCTATTATTGCGGTATAATTGCGATATAAGGACCTTTTTATAGATTAATACGTAAGAATAACATATCGTATTTAGTGGTGTGGAACCTTTGGTACGTGACTCACTTGAACAATTCTGAAAAAAATAAATAAAAAAAATAAATTTTATCTTGTATTCAGCCCTTTTTAACGTCCCACTGCTGGGCACGGGCCTCCCTTCAATACGAGGGGGATCAGGCCATAGTCCTCCACGCCGGCCAAGTGCGGGTTCGCGGACTTCACATGTCTTTCGAAAACTTGCTAGGTTCTCTCAGACATGCAGGTTTCCTCACGATGTTTTTCCTTCACCGTAAGGCAAGTGGTAATCATGTTAGAAATGATTCGCACATGAAAATATCAGAGGTGCGAGACCCGGGATTTGAACCCGCTTCACTCGGTTTCCCAAGCAAGCGCGTTACCACTGAGCTACCACACTGCCTAATAATTTTATCTTACGTAACCGAAAAAGAAATATTTATATTACAAAGATTTTCCATATTCTCTCATATCCCTACGGACAGTAAGTGTGTCACGCACTTACTGCGTGTTATGTATCATGTCAGTGTCACGCGTTATTTCATCAACGACGTGACGTTGAATGTGTTTACTTCTTAAGTGTTATCTCATCTCAGTATGTTAATATAGAGAATAATCTTAATTTTTTTTTTGATAAAAAATCTTTTTAAATATTCCTTTTATTATTCTTATATAATTTAATTTTAGGGACACTATAATAAGAGGTTTAATAGGTACACAACAGTCTATTAAAATATATTTATTTCACTTGAGGTTTGACAAGAAAACTTATGGTTATAGAAGTTACACAAAAAATTACATAAAATCTTACAACTGCGCGAAAATGAGAGTCGTGGAGGATCGTTATGATACAGATGTTTACGCGTTCGGCGCTCGCGGCTCTCTGCCTGGTCGAGCCACGCCGTCGCTCACGCGTTCGCGGGAGACGGGGGGGCGCGGGCGCCTAAACTATACGATCGCACGAAACACGGCCCTACAGGATCGTACATGTTCCGACACGATACCCCGCGATCACCGTTGTTTGTAAAAACCCCGCGTTACAGAGGTTAATATAACTTTTTAAATTTTCGCGTTTCATAATTATATAACGTTTAGTATAGATTTTTCAGAGATGAGATATTTTCTAGCAGTAAAAAGTATCCTATATGTTGACCAGCTGTCATCATAATCAAACATCAAAATCCCTCTAGATGTTTTTCTGTGATGCGATAACAGATAGACAGACAAAAATTCTAAAAACTATAGATTCGGCCTCTGTATCGATAATAATGTCTATTTCAATAAGATTCTCCAAAAATATCTAATGTACAGATTCGGCTTGGTTACAATTTTATTATATGTATAGATATGTAAGCCATGAAAAGAAATGACAGTACTTTATTGGCGCTAAATGAATTCCCTACCGGCAATTCTCACAACTAACTTTCGACCGATAAAGTTACGTTATAGTCTGTAGAGAGCATTTACAGAAGTATGTATAAAACTATCCACAGATAACAAAATAATTATAAGTATATATAAATAGTAAATAAGTAAATAATAGGTACTGTTTAAATAATCTTTCGTTAATACTAAAAACAACTATTAATCTACTAAGTATTTAAGCACCGACTTATAAAAATATATATTATAAAAATAAAAACCCGACTGCATGAAAGCTAACTAAAAATATGAAAACAAGTTGTCGAAAGAATAAAGTAATAGGCAGTCGGAGACTGTAGTCAATTTTTTTTTGTGACGAAATTTCGTTGCCAAATATTATAGATTATATAATATATGGTTATGCTTTTGTTAACGAATAATCTATAAGTAGTTACATTTCATGATTTCAATATCGTATACCTAACCCTTGAAGATTGTCCCTTTTTAATATGTGAGATAATTTAATACGTAATACGGCATCTTTGTATTTACATTGTTGGCATATTTTATGATCCATAGTACGATTTGGATTTAATACAATATAATACAGGTCCTACAGGAAAAGCAGTTAATTTTATGAAGACATAGTATGAAAATCTAACGATACTTCAGAACGACTTTTATAGGTAATAACTTGCCATCTGTGGTTAATTTTAATATATCCTTAGAATAAGTATCTAGTAAAATTGTTTATTTGAATGCCAAATACTATACGTAACTTCCGTATCCATAGCAATCGATCCGTCCTAGTTTCACCTTGTGTGGGGTAAAGTGCTAGGAATGATGGTCTGATCAATTTTGGCCATAGCGGCCATTCTCACTGAGACAAAATTATAGTGCACAAGTGTACGGGCAAACACAAGTGTACTCTCTGTTCCTGTTGCGCTTATTCTGGTGGGATGCCAATTCGATATGCCCAGTGAAAGTAAAAGGCGCAGGACCGACTTACTCTCTGACGCGCGGCGGTAAAACACCGCCAACTAACCCTTTTCTGGACTGTTAATGAGGCTTTCTTAATAGAAAAACTCAATTACTTCAGAACCCACTCGGGACTCAAACTCAGGACCTCTGGATCTGCATCAGTAGATACTAGCCACTAGACCACCAAGGTAATTACCTACTACTATTTGGAAACTCGGAAAGTGGTTATATATGTAAGTATACAAGTCAACAAATTACTAAAATCTTTATGTAACTAACTTATGAGATTAAATAACTTTATTTCACATTACATACATTCTACGTGTACCTAGTATGACAAAAAGTTGTTAAGGTATAATGAAACGTCGGGAATCGAAAATCAAAATAAATGCACAAAAACCCCGAAAAGATAGTTTATTTAATATGTTTTAAATACATTCATAATAGACATAATATCTTCTTCGATTATGTTGTATTCTTAAAAAAAACTTAAGTTATAATAGGGTACAAGTCACACTCATCCAAGTTACGCTACAAACAGACATTGATATTATTTCATTATTAGGTTTGAATACATTACGGGAAAATATATAATAGATTTCATTTCCATTTCATTTTTCTCTACCTAACATACTTATTTAATCAAAATATCTATCTTGCGGAAACTTTAAATATACAATACGGATCAAAGGTAGCTTAAGAAAGCCGGTCACGTCGAATATTGGTTTACTAATATTTAAACTTTAGTGCAAAACAACTGGATATAGGAAGCATCGAAACTAAGAAATATGGCTGTAGACGTGAGCAAATATATAAAAGATAAATATCTTTGAGCTAAACGGAATGTTTTCTAAAAAGCTTTTATTATAGTAGGGGAGCCCAAGAGGGGATTTTCTGTAGTTACTCGAGCGCGGCAGATTAACATAAAAGAGGTTACCTTGC